TTAAAAAAGTTTTCTAAAAATCTGATAAATTTAAGAAATATGAAACAATTTTTAAACTACTATAAATTCAGTTAGTGCTTTTAAAATATTAAAATTTTGTTATCAAAAGCACCTACATATATTTGAAAAAATAGTAGCACATATGTATGAGACATATTTATTTCCTCTGTAGGGAATGCTTGGTGCAAATGTGGATCCAGCACCTTGCGTCCACCCAAAGGTCCCCAGTAGGCACACTCTAATTAAATTGAATGTACCTGTTTCTGTTTCTTTCATGTACTCCCCAAAGGGTTGCACAGAGGGGGAAACTGCATAAGGCATGGGGGAAAAATGATTTTAGTTCACACACCACCATCTATTAGGCCTCCAAGAAATTGTCAGATCATTGCTAGCTCCTAGGAGATTTAAATAACCTGTTGTATTTTTGTTAAGGAGATTTTTTTTTTAAAGGAGGTAAGTGGAAACAGTCCAGAGAGGTGGGGAGGACTATCACAGAAGACTGGACAAGGTGTCATGAAAGGAGGACAGCAATCAGAGACCAAGTCTTCAGGGGAATGTGAGGATGGCAACTAAGGATTAGTTTGAGACTGATTACAAGCAATTACTTTACAAATCCAGTCTAGCTCCAGTTGCAGGCAGAAAGGGGTAAAGAAAGGAAGTAAGCATCTATTGTTTAGTAGCTGAGAGATAAGATAAAATCAAAGTTTTAGAAGTGGACTACTGAGATATCAGACATAATAAGCAGGCCTTGACACAAATACTCCTGATCAGCCATGAAACCGAACAAAATACATGTGAAGATCTGTTCTATCTGCAGAGAGATGCCATCAAACAGCAAGTGTTCAGGGTAAACACCTAGGGCAAACCTTGGGAACAGACCCCAAGACACATCCACTTTCACCTTAGTAAGTTAAGAACACTTTTAGTTTTTATATTGCATGATAGATATTGATTCGACAAATAGCCATGGAGTACTTTCAAAGAGCTAGGTGTTATAAATGGATAGCTCATCCATTCAGCCATTTGATAACCATTTATTTAGTATTCACTGTATGCCAAGCACTGTGTTAGGAATAGGATTTCTAGGAAAGAAAGGAATGTCGTGAAAGAAAGGCAGAACTACCAAAGGGAAGAAAAGAATACGGTAAAGGGAAGCCCAATCTCAAGGGAGGATTTAATTTTTCACTGGAGATTCAGAGGCCCGTTGAAAGATCAGGACAAAGGAACTGAGGGTGGGGTTAGGGTAATAGAGTAGTGAGTCACGAATGGAGCCAAAGCCCAAAGGGAATGTGAGGGGAGGGAAGTGTAAAATATCAAGACGTGGATTTTCCTTTGAAAGAATTTCTAAGCTCATAAGGGAGCTAACATATATAAAACTTCTAAAAATATAAAAAATGAGAAACATTTTACCAGAGAAATCTAGGATTCAGAGTTAGGATGAGCAACAAAAATGAAGTTTGGATGACTTCATGTCGTCTTTTGAGCATAGTAAAAATATTAGCCAGAATTCTAGAAGAAAGTAGTAGCACTGTTTGACTTCAATCCACTGTGAATAAGGAAAACATCTGGGTGATACAAGGAAACATTGTTTAGATTGAGCATCAGACTAAGAATTCTAGATTGAGCATCAGACTAAGAATTCAGTATCTCCAAGCCTTATGATTCCTCAGGTCAAAGTGTTAAATCTTTGTGAAGATCTAAAATGCAAACAGAGTAAAAATCCTAGGTTAAGACATCTAGACAGGTATAGGTTATTTAATCACTTTAAAGTTAAATTTAATTCACATAAACATAAGGGCAGGGGATGAAATGAGAAGTATTGATAAGAAGACAGCTAGAGTTTTTTTATACTGAGCTATGATCTTTAAGAAACAGGATATGGTGAAAGTAAGAAAGAAAAAAAATAACATTGATAAGACAGCTGCTTTGGAAAAAAACAAAACAAAACAAAAAATCTCTAAAAGACCTGAGAAATCAATAGTCTGCATTGAAAGCTGTTAAGGACAGACTAAGCCCACTGCTGCTCAGATCTAATGCACCCCTGATTTTGAATTGAAATCTGTGGTGTTCTATTATTCTAAAAACTCTAAGATATTCAAGGACTTTGTCAAGGACATTAACTTAGAAACAGAAATCCAACCCTGTAGTTGCTAAATGCCTGATGAAGGCTGATAATGCAAAATATCTTTCTCCGTCTGTGATTGGGAGTTTATTCTTTAGGCAGTGGGGAAAGTGACAGGATCAAAGCAGCTTTATAGGAAGGTTAAGTACAAGGGTGATCTATGGAATGAATGAAAGAAAGAAGTGGGAAGACTATGGCATAAAAAGTCATTAAAATCCAGTTACAATAAGTTAGGAAATGAAGACCTGTGGTGGCAGATGAACTGGGGCAAACAGGGAGGATATTGATCTAAGTACACACTTGGATTTGAGAATCAGTGACAAGGGAGACACTAGAGAAAACATACAGTATGATTTAATATAGTTTGAACAAGTTGGAAAATTTTATTTTGGAGTGATAAGGAAGGATAGAAGATAGATTTTGGTTAGATTTTATGTAAGGATGCCAAAAAGATATTCAGGTGGAAATAGTCACAGGTCACTGGGCTGGGATTCAAAGGATGAACTAGAGATTCTTTATTTGGGAGTCATTTAAATGGTTCTCAATTAAGGTGAATTTTTCCCCCAAATGATATTTAGCAATGTCTGGAGATATTTTTGGTTGTCACAACTGGTAAGATGTTGCTATTGGAATTTGGTGGGTAGAGGTCAGTGATGGTGTTAAAATATTTGCAATGTGTAGAACAGCCCCTTACGACAAAAGATTATGTGGCACCAAATGTTGATAGTGCCATGGTTAAGAAACCCTGCTCATAGATGTCCTAATACATTAGGGATATCTTGTCCAATCAGTGTATATAGTATATTTATGTTCAATTTAAATTTAATTTATAGAAAATAAGAATAGTATCAAACATGTTTTAAGTCTTACTCTATTTCACGCATTGTCCTCACATTACATGGTGTATTTAATCTTTTGAATGCTGTAAGGCATATATTACCTTTATCCGCCTTTATAGGTTAGGAAACAGATCCACTAAAAAATTAAGATACCTGCCAAAAGCCACATAGCTGGCAAATTTGGGGGCCCAGATCGCAATCAAAAAGTCCATTTTCAGAACCATGATTCTAACCACTAAGTTGGAGCATACAGTGATTATAGGTATGGTACCCTCAATACCATGGCAGACAAGACAGAATTACACAGAGCAAAACATTATACTCCCTTCATCCTTCTCCCCAAGCCAAACTAAACCAAAACAAATCAAACAAAACAAAAGCACTCTCTCAAATATTAATAGCAATGTCTTTCTCTGTCACTGAAGATTCCATTATGCCGTTGATACATTTGAGACACGGAGCATTTTGTCTTGGAGGAGGGTTTCAGGTGGGGGAGGAGACCTTGAGCTCTATCTAAAGCAGCAGTTTTGACAATCTTAGCATTTGACATATGATGTGTCCAGATGCATTGCATCTAATTTGTGAGTAATAATAAAGAGCCAATTTTTCCTAATGTAATTTTTACTATGTAAATTAGAACTGAGTAAAAATTAGTACTATAATAATATATATCATATTTTCTTACTTTCCACTATGCCTTTTTGGGTGTCAAAGAAGGATACAAATTTAAAGCTAATGACATTGGGGGTGGCACTGGATGTTCACATGTAAATGTCCCTGTGATTCGGAAGACTGAAATGTATTTGTTGAAAATTACCGATTTAATAGTTAGAATGTAGTCAACAAAATAAATATTTAATTCCTCAAGTTTGACTTTTAAGTCATCCTCTTTGAATATAAATTATACAAACATTTATTTTTTTATCAAACTAGATATTCAGAGTTTTAGTATGATTTACTCTCCATTTGGTCAAGATGACAAAGGTGAAACACATTTCTTTGAAGTGCGGTGGCTTCCAAATTTTTGCAACAGTGGACTTATTCCTCAAATGAATATTAAGAAATAAAAATATCCAGTGACGCCTGGGTGACTCAGGCGGTTAAGCATCTGCCTTTGGCTCAGGTTGTGGTCCCAGGGTCCTGGGATTGAGCCCTGAGTTAGGCTCCCTACTCAGCAGGGAGTCTGCTTCTCCCTCTCCTTCTGCCCTGCCCCCTGTTTGTGCTCTCTCTCTCTTTCTCTCTGTCAAATAAATAAATAAAATCTTTAAACAAAAAGAAAGAAAAATATTCATAATAAGGAAAGGTGGAAAAGAAGGAGAGAATTTCTGAAGCCAGAATGGGGAAGCAGGGATGGGACGTAGTTGGGGAGAGGACAGCTGGGGAGAGGGGGTCCAAAGATCTAGCCATTTGACAACATTGATCTACCCGTCAGGCAGCATTTTAGGCAACTTTGGAGGCTCCATAGAACATAGTTTGAGAAGGATTATCCAATATATTTTAGGGTAATTTAGATAATAAAATTATCATAACTATCTTAAAATCTTGTAAGTATTTAAAGTTGCAAGTCTCACTGATACTCTAATTAAATTCTGCCTTAAATGTCATATTATGTAATATGCATATACATTTCATTAAATGCTACATTTTATTTTATGTGTTAAACTTGCATTTTTTTATTTTCAAGTGGTGGACAATATCCTGTTTCTGCCTATGGCTTATATTCATCTCTTGACCATTTCTGTCAAAAATGCAATGTACTTTTTACTGTAAAAAAACTAAAGTAAATTATATTTAATAGGCTTTTAAATATAGTTCTCTGACACAACACTTAATTTAAAACGGACAATTTTACTCTTTTACACTGTGCTTTGGGAATATTTTTAAGCAATGATGTATTTCTTCTGATTGTTCTCTTATTTTCTGATAAACAGTACTGTAATAAATTTTGATCCTACCTTTGGTCTTGATATTTAGTAGCTACGTATTTGTTTTCTTTGATAGCAACACGCATTAATATTTATAACCATTTTCCTTTGCAGCATCTCCCAGATGGCTCTGTGCCCAGTGCACATGTTGAATTTTATCTTTTACCATATCCCAGTGAAGTTCGTAGGAGGAAAACGAAATCTGTTCCAAAATGTACCGACCCCACTTATAATGAAATTGTAAGTATGATCCATCTCTTGTCCAGTCACTTTGTATTTTTTCTTACCATTTTTTAGCTTAACAACCAAATATGGAAAATTTGCAGTAATTGGCAGCATTATTCCATAAAGGGAAGGCATTTTACAAAATAGCCACTATGTGCTGATCACTGTTCTAGATGCTATGGGAACTGGAAAATACGGATTCTGCTTTCAAAGCACTTACAAACCAATTTTCAAGTTGTGGCAAGCCTCCAGCAAGAGCCCAGGATGGATTTTTCTTTTCTTTTCTTTTTTTTTTTTTTGCCTAACATTATCCCTGACTTCATCTTATTTTCTCTAACCTTATTTTCCTTTACCTGATCTTCCTTACTGAATAACTTTATCATAGTCTATCCTGTGTATAACAATAAACTTCATAAAATCTCCTTTGAAAAACAAAAGAAAATAAACAAGTACAAAGCACAAATTAAATTAACTTACATGTAGCTCTCTAATTCATTTGTATCTCACAATTTGAATATCCAATCCCCTACTTCTTTCTGAGGCCAACCCTACATTATTCTCTTGATTCCATCCCTTCCCATCTCTTCTGTACCTTGCTCAGATGATTATCTGTTTGCCTTTCATAAGGTTGTCTCATCCACTGCATCCTTAGGTCAGTAATCTTAAAAAAAAAAAAAACAGAGAAACAAACTCCTCAACTCAGCCTTTCTAAAGCATCCATATTTTCTTTCCCTCCCTAGCACCCCCAGCCTTTTGCAAAAGTTGGGCACCTGGGTGGCTCAGTCGGTTAAGCATCTGCCTTCAGCTCAGGTCATGATCCCAGGGTCCTGGGATGGAGTCCCGTGTCCAGCTCCCTGCTCAGCTGGGAGCCTGCTTCTCCCTCTCCCTCCCCACTCGCTCTCGATCTCTGTCACCATCTCTGTCTGTCTATCTCTCTCTCTCTCTCAAATAAATAAATAAAAAATCTTTAAAAAAAAACTTTTGCAAAAGTGACTCACAAGAAATGTGATTCACATTTCTTGCTCTCACTTCATCGCTTCCTTTGCCTCCTTCAATCCTTTGCGGTGTGGATTCTGAAGTTAATTGATGCTGCTTTCTTCGAGTGACATCCCTGGATTGCTAATGGCTTAATCTAATGAGCCCTCTACTCTCCTGAACGGTTACACAGCTGCACTGCTGGCCGCAGGCATTTTTTTGACACCTCCCTTTTGCTTGAGTCTGACCTTTTCTTAACTCCCTTCCATCTTCTCCAATCACGCACTCAATTTCCTTCATTGCCATTCTTCCTCTGAAAACTATTGCTGTTTGCTGGAGTTCCACGATCTACCCTCATTGCCTCGAGATATGTTCGCTCTCAAAATTATCTTATACACCTACAAATTGTCATTTAACGCCTCTATGTAGGTTGCATCTGAATTTATTCCTCCAGCTCTGGCTTCGGTCCTAACCTTTTGACATGTGCTTCTGCCTGATTACTGAAGAGAGCTTCATTTTAATGTCTCCTAGACACTTTTGAACCAGGCCTCCCTCCTCTATTTACCATCTCAAAAGATACATTCTAACGACACCACCCTCTCTCTCATTCATTTTTCCAACTAATCCCCAAGTTTTGTCAGTTTAACAGTTTGTTACGTGTGCAGCCACCTGCCTCTTGGATCCATCACCTACTGTCTGCCCCATCGCTGCTTCTTTGTTTGACGTCCCTGTGACTTGGGCTACTAGATAATAGCCTCCTATCTGCCTCTTGTGTTTTCAGTGGAATCATTCACATTTCTATCTAAGATGTCTTTCAAAAACCAGTCATATTTATTTCTCTACTATTTAAATTTTTTTCAAAGGCTCCTCACTGACTACTTGGCAATGTACAGAATCCTAAATGTGACACTGATAGCCCTTAAAATGTGACCCAGTAACTTTCCTGAGTTATCTCTTGGATAATATTGTCTTCAGACACTTAAAAAAAATTGTTAGCCACTTTCCCTCAATGTTAACATCCTGTATGACTACAGTACAGTATCACAACCAGGAAATTGACATTGGTACAACTCACTGACCTTACTGAGATTTCACTAGTTTTACATGTGTTCATGCGTATTTAGTTCTATGCATTTTTTATTTTAATTCCTGTTAGTTCTATGCATTTGTATCACATGGGTAGATTTGTGTGACCATCACCACAGTCAGTCAAGGTACAGAAGAGTTCCATCACAAGGATTCCTGGTGCTACCCTATTATAGCCACAGATACTCCTCTCCCTCTAAGGCCCACCTCCACCCCCAGTCACTGGCTACTAGTAATCTGTTCTCCATCTTTATAATTTTGTCATTTCAAATGTTATACAAATGGAATCATACAGTTTGTAACATTTTGAAATTGGGCTTTTTTCACTCACCATAACTCCCTAGCAATCCATCCAAATAGCTGCATGTATCAATAGTTTGTTTCTTTTCACTGTTGAATAGTAGTCGTGGTATGGAATATGATATTTTCTTTAACTGTTCACCCATTAAAGGACATCTGGGTTATTTCTGGCTTGGGCTATTGCAAACAAACCTGTTGTGAACAGTGATCTATAGATTTTTGTGTAAACGTAAGTTGTAATTTCTCTAACATAAATACTCAAGATATAATTCCTGGAATACATGACAGTTGGCATATTTAGTTTTACAAAAAATTGCCATACTCTTTTTCTATGCTGTTTTACACTCCCCCTACCAATGCATCTATTTTCTCTGAATCTCTGCCATTTGTTGTTATTCACTATTTGTTATTTTTATTATTTGTTATTTATTATTTGTTATTATTTGTAACAAGTTTGTTATTATTACTATTATTTAGTTCTTTTGAAAAGTATAGTGTGATACCTCATTGTGGTTTTAATTTGTATTTACCTAATAACTAATGATGCTGAACTTCTGGTCATGTACTTATTTACCGTCCTCTTTAGTGAAATGTCTCTTCATGTCTTTGCTCATTTGCTTATTGGATAGTTTGCATTTTTACTGCTGAGTTTTGAGAGTTCTTTATGTATTATGGCTAGTAGTCCTTTGTCAGATAAGTAGTTTGCAAATACTTTCTACCTGTCTTTGGCTTATCTTTTCATCCTCTTCTCAGGGTCTTTCAAATTAAATTTTTTAATTTGGGTTTTGTATAGTTTATCAAATTTTCCTTTTATAGACTATAAGTCTAAGAGCTCTTCACCTAGCACTGAGTCCTAAAGATGTTTTCCTATATTTTTTCTAAATGCTTTATAGTTTTACAATTTTATATTTAAGCCCATTATCCATTTTGAGTTAATTTTTGAATAACATATGAAGTTTAGGTTGGAGTTCTTTTTTTTTTTTTACCATGAATGCCGATTACTCCAGCACCATTTATTGGAAAAGCAATGCAATGAAATGTCTTTTGTCCTTTGTCAAAAATAAGTCAGGAATATTTGTGCACTCATGACCTTTTATGTCCTCATACCTAATCATATTCTCAAGTCACATAAGACATCTTGTCATTCCTTTAATAGTCCCTATGACATCTGAGATGGAGCTCATGCCCTTTACCCTTTCTGCTCTTCTCTGCCAACTTTGAAGCTTACCTCAAATGTGGACTCTGTGAACCACTCTTTCTTCCTACACTCTTACACCACACTTAACCATATTTTACTTAGTCCTACGTGTTTTTTTCTTCTAGTATATTGTAAATTTCTTGAGGATGAGGAAAATATCTTATCTTCTTAGTATCTTTAAAACTTAGTTGTTTCTAAAAAGATTTGTGGTATTAAATATTTGGGGTAGTTTTATAAGTGACACTTCATATGCATGTGTAAAAATGTAAAATTATATATATATTTATACATATAATTTAGTAAGGAAAAATCTTTTGACATTTTCTTATTTTTCATGATGTCAACAGCTAGAGATATACCCTCCCAACTGTATGCCAGTAGTTTCCATATGTTTTGAGTACAAGACCCCCTATATCAATATCATGAAATTTGTCCAGACTTAATGTTGTGCTTCATCATTTGTAATCTCAGGAGGATCATAATGACAAAAAGCCACTAATGATTCAAGAGTTTAAATAAACTTGTGTTTTATTTATTTCAAGCTACATATATTATTTTTAAAAATTAGCAAATACACATGCATGGAGATTATTTTATAATGCTTATTGTATCCATAAATTTTCTAACAACTTGCAGTAATTCTAGCTCCTCCCACATTCATGGCCCATTGATCAGAAATCACTGCAATACTTTCTTCATCAGCCAACACTTGTAAGCTTGGGCACACACTTTTATACTTTGAACACTTTTAAAAATTGTTTCAAAAACAATAGTCCATAGTCCATGCCTAGTACCCTTCAATTTATTCATAATCCAAATGAGTGGAAATGTGAATTAATATGTGGATAAGTGACTATTTTTAGTAGTAATGGGCATCATATAAACAAGTTTGGTGGAAAAGCTGGTTGAATTTAGAAAGCCAAGAGAAAAAAAAGACAACAATAATTTAATTTTTCTCCCATTATGTTCTGTGTCCATATCAATATAACAAGAATCCTTTTTAATGAAATGGGGGAACAAAAGTACACCAGTTTTAACTCTGGTTTTACTTTCTCTTGCATTCTGCTATGATGTAAGCTTCATCTCTGTGCCAAACCCCTCAATTATTTCACCAACAATGTATATGTGTTTTCTAGGAAGCCCAGTAAATTATCGTGTGGCATCCAACTTATTTTTAACTTCTCCCCTGCTTTGCGTCCTGAGCACTGCTGCATCAGCCACGCAGTATGACTGGGATTTCTCAAACTGCCAAAGCCCTTCAATGTTCTAAGAAGTAGGAGAGAATGACCTCACTCTCCTTTTTTATATATATCTCTTAAAGGAATAAGAAGGGCATATTACATTGCATCACCAATGTCTTACAAAGCTTTTCATGAAAATAATTATTTCCATTTTTATTCATAGCTCTCTCTCTCTCTCTCTCTCTGTCTCCCTAATACCCAGACGGAGAAAGGCTGAGTCAGGGATGCTGCCAAGAGTCCCTTTCATATCCACCCTTCAGATACTAAACTTTTTTGATACAGGGCCAAGCTTGTCTATTTGACACTTCCCAGAGTGATTCCAAACAGACTTGTCAGCAGTCTCCCTGAAAACCCCTATCATATACAAAACCCTGTTGTAGACATGACTGGGCTGAAGGTAGGGTGGAGCTGGCAGTAGGAATGCACTGTCTACAGCTTTTAAGAAGCAGAGCTAGGATTCTGGCTCCAATGTCATTGCTCTTTCCACTTTATTATCTTTGGCATCTGGTTAAAAACCATCATTTTTTTCAATGATTCTTTAGAAATACAGATTCTATTTTATAACAGAATTATATTGTTAGAGTCAACATATTTTGTACGTTGTATTCCTTTCTTAGATGTCATTCTCTTATAAAATATAAAGAAGAAATTAGAAAGGACATTAGAACAGGAATATTCTATGCGTTTTACATACCTTAAAGTATCTTGCAGGGGCGCCTGGGTGGCTCAGTCGGTTAAGCGTCTGCCTTCGGCTCAGGTCATGATCCCAGGGTCCTGGGATCGAGCCTCATGTCCGGCTCCCTGCTCAGCAGAGAGCCTGCTTCTCCCTCTCCCTCTGCCTGCCACTCTGCCTACTTGTGCTCTCTATCTCTCTGTCAAATAAATAAATAAAATCTTTAAAAAAAAAAAAAGTATCTTGCAGAGTGTGTATGATTATCTAGCATAGCACTAAGTATATGGGATACTCAGTAAGCCATAGCCATTGTTATCTATATCATCCTCTCATTTGATATTCATAACATGATGAAAATTCTATTTGTAAATGAAGTCATTGAGGCCCTGATGTCAAACATTTCAATCAGGGTAAAGCAACTAGTTTTCAAGTCCAGAACTGCCAGATTCCAAAACCCATATTGGTCCCACTAAGTTATGCTCTTGTCCCTCCCTCTCCCCACCCACAGAGTTCTCCCCTTCTCACTTATATTGAACTCTCCTTTTCATTATCCTGCCTCCTCACTCCCCTTCCCACCAACACATTTCAGTTTCCATGTTATTGTTCTTCTTTAGAATGAAGTAATTCTAAATACACTAAATACACTTTAGAATTATTTACTATACCCTCATGTCAAATAACATACAATGAGTGCTTGTATACAAGTTACCAGATATTAATTACCCTAAACAAGGTTTTTCTGTTTGATGTAATAATTTCAAACCTACAAATTCAGTGTTTGTCAGAAGGCAATGAAGACTTAGTGTATGTCTATGGGTAAAAAGTATTATAAAGTGAAATTGAAAAAGCTGTACATTTTGATTCTATTCATGTGAAGACAGAATACGTAAAGCACTTGGTGAAAAAGTCTCAAAAAATATAATCATTTCTGTACTTCTTTAGCATTACCCACTAATTGTTCATTGCACAGTAAGAAAAGAGTGCTTATTTTTTCTTTTTTATTTATTTCTTTTTTAAGTTTTCATTTAAATTCCAGTTAGTTAACATACAGAGTAGTATTAGTTTCAGGTGTACAATATAGTGATTCAACACTTTTATACATCACCTCGTGCTCATCACAAGAAAGAGTGATGTTAAAATTTTTTTAACAACATTATGGATGCAGTAAAGCAATTAAAATAGACATATATCATCTATGATGTGCAATGACTACATGTTTATAAAACTTCAGTTACTTTTAAGAAAATAATTTTTGCATAATGAAGCCCAGGGAAAGAAATCCGTAAGTTAATATAAACTCTGGAGTTCAAATGTTTGTATTTTAACCAGAAAGGCGATTAATTCTTAAAGTCATTTCTTGAGAATTTCAGCTTGCTAAATACCAGGGAGATTCAATTCTGTCTGGAACTGTTTTCTCCAGTCAGCTAATGCAAAATACCAAGAAACAGCTGTTTTTCTTTGTGTATTTGATGGATCTTTTTCAGCTATAATTTACTAGTGCTCAATATGCACCAGGCTTTGTAGTAAGGTTTACATTCATTATCTCGCTTATTCTTCCCCACAATGCTAAAAGGCAAATATTATTATCACCGGTATGCAAATGAGAAAACATATAGTTGACAATAGATTCATATAAACATAAATTATGTGTCATAGAAATTTACATCTTCAGAGCTTATTTATATGATTCACAGAGTTCTTAAGCCAGACTTTCACAAAATCCTAAGGCTTAGAGTTATTCTATTTTTCTACTTCACATACAGTAACACTTTGAGGGCCCCTTCATCTATTTGCTCTGTAAAATAAATGACTTTGTCTGCTGAAAGTGTTGTGGGGAGGAAAATGGAGGATAGTTTAGACAGTTCAAAATAGCCGCTGTAGAAAAGAGGAAAAGGAACTTTCTCTGAAGTCTTGGAAAGATAAAAGTCCAGAAGGAGACATGGCTCACAGAGTCCACACTGGGCATCCCATTGCTATTAAAGAGGATGAATTTGTTCCATTTCTTTGAAAAAAGTGGATGGTATTTTGATGGGGATTGCATTGAATGTGTAGATTGCTCTAGGTAGCATTGACATCTTCACAATGTTTGTTCTTCCAATTCATGAGCATGGAATGTTTTTCCATTTCTTTGTGTCTTCTTCAATTTCTTTCCTGAGTATTTTATAGTTTTCTGAGTACAGATCCTTTGCCTCTTTGGTTAGATTTATTCCTAGGAATCTTATGGTTTTGGGTGCAGTTGTAAATGGGATTGACTCCTTAATTTGTCTCTCTTCTGTCTTGTTGTTGGTGTATAGGAATGCCACTGATTTCTGTGCATTGATTTTATATTCTGCCACTTGACTGAATTCCTGTATGAGTTCTGGCAGTTTTGGGGTGGAGTCTTTTGGGTTTTCCACATACAGTATCATATCATCTGCAAAGAGTGAGAGTTTGACTTCCTCCTTGCCGATTTGGATGCCTTTGATTTCTTTTTGTTGTCTGATTGCTGTGGCTAGGACTTCTAATACTATGTTGAATAGCAGTGGTGAGAGTGGACATCCCTGCCCGCATTCCTGACCTTAGGGGGAAAGCTCTCAGTATTTCCCCATTGAGAATGATATTTGCTGTAGGTTTTTCATAGATGGCTTTTATGATATTGAGGTATGTACCCTGTATCCCTATACTCTCTGTGAATTGTGCAAGACTGTTGAATCACAGATCTGTACCTCTGAAACAAATAATGCAATATATGTTAAGAAAAAAAAGAAAAAGAAGAAGAAGATAGCAGGAGGGGAAGAATGAAGGGGAGTAAATCGGAGGGGGAGATGAACCATGAGAAACGATGGACTCTGAAAAACAAACTGAGGGTTCTAGAGGGGAGGGGGGTGGGAGGATGGGTTAGCCTGGTGACGGGTATTAAAGAGGGCACGTTCTGTGTGGAGCACTGGGTGTTATGCACAAACAATGAATCATGGAACACTACATAAAAAACTAATGATGTAATGTATGGTGGTTAACATAACAATAAAAAATATAAAGAAAAAAAGAGGATGAATTAAAGTGGTAAGGTTTTGAGATTTTTAAGGCAACCCTTAAAATCCTTTACTATCCCAGGGGAACTCAATAAATGAAATGGAATAATTTGAATCGTCAATCCTAAGAAACTTAAAAGATAATCTGTCTGGAATGAGAGTAGGATTCTAGAAGAGGAGGTAGCCAGGAACTGTCACATGAGGCAAGGTAGACTGGATTAACATAGTTTATTGCATCTCATGTCCCTTAACTGAAATTGTTATTTACTCCTTATGTAAATCATTGTTCAGAAGAGCTGTCAGATTGATCTTAAATGGAATTTCATTGATAACTTTTTAGGTTCATAAATGTAGACAAATGAAATGCAATGCACCAGAAACCATATCCATACACACTGAGGAGGCCTCCCAACTGACTCAAAGGGCTTCCCTCTCAAGCTTTTCCTCTACTTTTTTGCATATAGAGAGAACACTTCTTTCTATCTTGTAGCTTGGCTATAAAAAACAAGCAAGTTTGTAGCAACATATGAAACTCCTTTTCCAAATGTGTTCTAAGGAGTTTCCCTGGCAACCATGTTAGATTTATACACAGCTCTCCCCCTCCCTTCATGATGGGTAACTAATTTCTTGATAGTACTACACTTCTGAAGTTTCTTTACTACCGTAGGCACCCGACGGTAATGCCCATGACTTCCTTCCTGGATATTATAAAACACAGTTAAACAGATCCCTTTTTAGAAACTAATTACATGACTAGTAAGCAGAAAAGAGCAAGACACAAAACTGTACATACAGCAAAATTACAGCTCAGATTCTTAAAAAGTAATTATATATGTAAAACAAAAAGAACACTGAAATGTTAACTATAATTATCTCCCAGTGGTAGAAATATAGATTTTCCTTTCTTTTTTGTTTCATACATATTTTATTTAATAAGCATGTGTTTTCATAATTAAAAATTAAGCCATTTTAAATAAATTAAAGTAAGCACAGAATGAATTCTTCACATGTAGATGGAAATATTGTTATACTGCACTAAATTAACAAGGAAATCATGGAGATTGGTCTGCTTTCCTCATTAGTCTTTAGCAAAGAAAGATAGTGTTCAAGGTCCCATGTTGCACAATAAATTCAAGGACAGTTAAAAGGTGATGGGTACTTAAATTTCTTCCTAGAGAATAATTTACAGTCATATTAAATTTGGGATGAACAATTATTAATGGAATCAGAATACATTCTAAGCTTCTTAGAGCAATATTCTGTCATTAAACTCCATTATGTTAGCTGAATCTTTAGCTTTCCAGAATTAGAGTTAGACATGAAAGATTCTTCATTAACCTAGCTATTCCAAGCTAAATGATATTAACAGCTAAATATTTTTATTAAAAGCAATATTTTTAAAGGTGCATTTAAGCATATCTGATTTATATTTTAATTATTCTCTCCCTTTTCAGGTGGTGTATGATGAAGTCACAGAGCTCCGAGGACATGTCTTAATGCTTATTGTGAAAAGCAAAACCGTATTTGTGGGAGCAATTAACATCCAACTTTATAGTGTCCCTCTCAATGAAGAAAAATGGTATCCACTAGGAAACTGTATAATTTGACCATTTCTATCAACCAATGCATTGTTCATTAACTACTTATATCTTTTTCCACTTCTAGGCCTCTCTATCACAAGAGCAGGACATTTTAGTTTTCAAAGATAGCTTAGTGTACCAAGGACACAAGAAAAATAAATAAGAATAGTTTTTGAGAAACAAACTGAGGGTTCTAGAGGGGAGGACTGGGGGGATGGGTTAGCCTGGTGATGGGTATTAAGGAGGGCACGTATTGAATGGAGCACTGGGTGTTATATGCAAACAATGGATCATGGAACACTACATCAAAAAAAAAAAGAATAGTCTTTTATAGTAATATATTCTCTACTGTGTTTCATTGTTTTCTTAGAATATTTTCTCCTTAATAAAGTGCCAGTTTATTGTCTAAAATTCAATATGCAAAATAATAACAGAACATTTAATTTTAATATATCTTTTAAATCAAATATGTGTTCACATTTTTTAACTGTGTACCTATGGTTACAGCAACACTGTTACTGTGGTTTCCAAGAAATACAGCAATAAAAAAATCTCATCAATTAATTCAAGACCTAAGTATATCTGTAACAAATTTTTAAACTTGAATTAAATATATATACTTGCATACTGACTTACACTCTTTTTTATTATGGGAATTAGTACGCTCCAGCTTTTCAATCAGAAAAACAAAAGATAAATGCCTGAAATTCTTAAATCCAATTTTTGGAAGAAACTTCTTTATATTACCCTTTTCAATGTCAATCAATTAATCATCACTGGATTTCACCCAACTAGGGGCATGATCACTTTTTAAATTTCATTACCCCTTAAGTCCAAGATGTCAAACTCTGAAACTTTCCACTCTGATCAAAACCTCTTCTCTTTGCACATCAAGAATTTCTCTTATTTCTGAATCTACTTTCATACCCATCATGATCTGAGTAGATAATCTTACAGACTTCCACCTGCAAAGTAGGTACAACTCAAAACACTCTGCCACATTTTTTGAGAGAAACAAATAGGAGTTCCTTTTTAGTGTCTGTCATTTAAATTACTAAAAAAAAAAAAAGTTAAACTCTTGCTTTTTTTCAATGCTTCACTGTGAATGAATAGAAATGTAATTTAAGCTCTTATATATGGTCATCTACATAATGATGTAAACATGTAAAGGACTGTAAATTTATTCACTGAAAATATTTGAGTGCCAGCCTACAACAGGCGGAGAGACAGGGCAGACAACTGCACTGAAAGGAAAAGTGTCTCAGACACAACAGCAGGGCATAAGCAACACACATAGGATACTCTCTTGAAGTGCAAGGTTCTGGTTAATAAGGGACACTGCCTTGCAGTGGACTTCAGGACCTCTTCATCATAAAGTCACTACTTTCAGGAGCAGAAGACATAGCTGACTTTCTTAACACAGAGAAACAGACACAGAGAGGCAGGCAAAATGAGGAGACAGAGAAATTTATCCGAAATGGAAAGAACAGGACAAGCCATAGCCTGAGATCTAAGCAAAACAGATATAAGTAAAATGCCTGATAGAGAATTTAAAACAATGATAAGAAGGATACTCACTGGACCTGAGAAAAGAGTGGAAGAAATGTGTTAGACCCTTAACACAGAAATAAGGAATAACATAGCAGAGATAAAGGGCTCGATAAACAAAATGAGAAATGCACTTGATGGAATGAACAGCAGGATGGAAGAAGCAGAGGAACAAATTAGTGACCAGAAGACAGAAATGGAAAGTAATGAAACTGAACAAAAGAGAGAAAAAAGAATTTTGCAAAATGAGAATAGGCTTAGCGAACTCAGTGGCTCCATGAAATGTAATAATATTCGTATTATAGGAAACCCAGAAGAAGAAGAGAGAAAAAAAAAGAACATAAAATTTATTTAAACAAATAATAGCTGAAAACTCCCCAAATCTGGGGAAAGAAACAGATATCCAGATCCTGGAAGAACAGAGAACTCCCATGAAAATCAACAAAAGCAGAACCACACCAAGACATAGTTGTAATTAAATCGGCAAACTATAGTGATAAAGAAAACATTTTTAAAGCAGCAAGACAAAGGAAGACAGTAATTTACAAGGGAAAATCCCTAAGGCTTGCAGGAGATTTTTCAGCACAAACTTTGCAAGACAAAAGGAAGTGGCATGATATATTCAAAGTGCTGAATGGGAAAAATCTGCAGCCAAGAATATTTTATCCAGCAAAGCCAATATTCAGAATAAAAGGAGAGATAAAGAGTTTCCCAGACAAACAAAAACTAAAGGAGTTCATGACCATTAAACCACCCTGCAAGAAATATTAAAGGGGACTCTCTGAGAAAGGAGAGACCAAAAGTGACAGTTTAAAGATAGGAACCACAAAAGCAGTAAAAATGAATATTTCTGTAAAAAATCAGTCAAGGAACTCACAAAATAAATGGATACAAAATATAACAACATATACATGAAACTGAGAGGAAAGGAGTAAAAAATGGGTTCAAACTTAAACAACCATCAACTTAATATAGACTGTAATATGCAGGTTATATGCAAACATAATGACAACCATATATCAAAACTAACAAGTATACATAGAATAAAGATAAATAAATCCAAATACATCACTAAAGAAAATCAGCAAACCCTGAAAGGAGAAAAACAGGAAATGATCAGAGAAAATCTTGGAAACAACCACAAAACAAATAATAAAATGACAGTATATACCTATAAATAATTACTTTGAATGTAAATGAACCAAACACTCCAATCAACAAACATAAGGTGACAGAATATTTGGGAAAATAAGACCCACCTACATGCTGCCTACAGGAGATTCATTTTAGACCTAAAGACACCTGCAAATTGAATGTGAGGGAAGAGAGAAACATCTATCATGCAAATGGAGATCAAAAGAAAGCCAGAGTAGCAATACTTGTATCAGACAAAATAGACTTTAAAACAAAGACTGTAACAAGAGACAAAGAAGGACTCTATATAATGATAAAGAGGACAATCCATCAAGATATAAGCATTGTAAATATTTATGCAACCAGTATAGGAGCATCAAAATATATAAAACAATAACAAACATAAAGGAACTAATCAATAAAAATACAATAGTAGGAAAGGACTTTAACACCTCACATCAATGGACAGATCATCTAAACAAAATCAATAAGGAAGCAATGGCTTTGAATGCACATGGAAACAGATGAATTTAACAGATATATGCAGAACATGCTATCCTCAAACAGCAGAACACACATTCTTTTCAAATGTACACGGAACATTCTCCAGAATAGATCACATATTAGCCCACAAAACAAGCTTCAACAAATTCAAGAATATTGAAGTCATACCATGCACCTTTTCTGACCACACTATGAAACTAAAAGTCAACCACAAGAAAAAATCTGGAAAAACCACAGATACATGGAGGTTAAATAAAAGCCTACTAAACAATGAGTGAGTCAACCAGGAAATAAAAGAAGAAATAAAAAAATACATGGAAATAAATGAAAACACAATGGTCCAAAACCTTTGGGATGCAGCAAAAGTGGTCCTAAGAGAGAAGTTTATAGCAATAGAGCAATACCTCAAGAAGCAAGAAAAATCTCAAGTAAATAATCTAACCTTACACCTAAAGGAGCTTCAAAAAGAATAATAAAAATCTAAAACCAGCAGAAGAAAATAATAAATACTTGAGCAGAAGTGATATAAAAACTAAAAACAAACAAAAACAATAGAACAGAGCAATGAAACCAGGAGGTGCTTCTTCAAAAAAAATCAAGAAAATTGATAAACCTTTAGTCAAACTTAGGAACAAAAAAAGAGAAAGGACTCAAATAAATCAAATCACAAATGATAAAAGAGAAATAACAAACAACACCACAGAAGTACAAACCGTTAAAAGACAACTTTATGAAAAACAATATGCCAAAAAACTGGGCAACCTAGAAGAAATGGATAAATTCCTAGAAACATATAAACTACCAAAACTGAAACAAGAATAAATAAAAATTTTGCACAGACTGATAACCAGCAAAGTAATTACATCAGTAATCAAAATAACTCCCAATAAACACAAATCCAGGACCAGATGGCTTCACAGGTGAATCCTGCCAAATGTCTAAAGAAAAGTTAATATTTATTCTTCTCAAACTATTCCAAAAAATAGAAAAGGATGGAAAACTCAAATTCATTCTCTGAGGCCAGAATGACTCTGATTCCAAAACCAGATAAAGACAGCACTAAAAAAGAGAACTACAGGACAATAGCCCTCATGAACATAGATGCAAAAATCCTCAACAAAATACTAGCACACCAAATCCAACAATACAATTAAAAAATCATTCACCATGATCAAGTGGGGTTTATTCCTGGGTTGCAAGGGTGGTTCAATATTTGTAAATCAATAATCTTTATACATCCCATCAATAAGAGAAAGTATAAGAACCATATGATCATTTCAACAGACTCAGATAAAGCATTTGACAAAGCATCCATCCATTCATGATAAAACTCTCAACAAAGTAAGTTTAGAGGGAACATACCTCAACATAATAAAGGCCATATATGAAAAACTCACAGCTACATCATCCTCAATGGGGAAAAACTGAGAGCTTCTCCCCTAAGGTCAGGAACAAGACAAGGATGTCCACCCTCACCACTTTTACTCAACATAGTACTGGAAGTCCTAGCTACAGCAATCAGACAACAAAAAGAAATAAAAGGCATCCAAATCAGTAAGGAAGAAGTAAAACTTTCACTATTTGCAGGTGACATGATACTCCATGTAGAAAACTCAAAAGACTAGCAAAAAACTGCTAGAAATGATGAATGAATTCAGTAAAGTAGCAGGATACAAAATCAACATACAGAAATCTGTTGCATTTCTATACAGGAATAAAGAAGCAGCAGGCAGAGAAATTAAGAAAGCAATCCCCTTTACAACTGCACCAAAAATAATAAAATATCTAGGAGTAAACTTAACCATAGAGGTAAAAGACCTGTACTCTAAAAACTATAAAAAACTGATGAAAGAAATTGAAGATGACACAAAGAAATGGAAAAACATTCCGTACTCATGGATTAGAAGAACAAATATTGTTAAAATGTCTATACTACCAAAAGCAATCTACACATTCAATGCAATCCCTCTCAAAATACCACCAGCATTTTTCACAGAGCTAGAACAAACAATCCTAAAATTTTTATGGAACCACAAAAGACCCCAAATAGCCAAAGCAATCTTGAAAAAGAAAAGCAAAGCTGAAGGCATCACAATTCCAGATTTCAAATGATATTACAAAGCTGTAGTAATTAAAACAATACGGTACTGGCACAAAAATAGACACATAGATGAATAGAACAGAAGAGAAAACCCAGAAATAAACCCACAACTATATGGTCAACAAATCTTTGACAAGCAGGAAAGAACATCTAATTGGAAAAAGACACTCTTCAACAAATGGTGTTGGGAAAACTGGACAGCTATATGCAGAAGAATAAAACTGGACCACTTTCTTAAACCGTACACAAAAATAAATTCAAAATAGATTAGAGAC